TATGATAGACATCATTAATACTAAATTATATCCAATTACATAAAAAGAGATGCTTTTATTTATTATATATATATAAGTAAAAAATTAAAAAAAAAAGGATGCTTATATTATTTATACATAAGACCAACTTGAAGCTTTGTAAATATCGACGTAATCATACTCGCTACCTCTTTCGTAAAAACCGTATTCATATTTAGAGTTAGGAAAAATAGAGTATAAAAAAGTACAAAATATGTATAAAGTTTTTATAACTTTTATTATTTCCAGTAGAAATGCATACTAATTAACAAATACAACAAACGAAACTCTAATACAATATTAGCAAAATGATGATTCTGCTCCATCTATATGATGATAATCTGAGTTAATTAATCTAAGAAAAAACACCCACCAACAATCAAATTACGGCGAATTACATTAAAGGATTAACAGCAGCTAATTAGACACTAATCACCAAAGCAAAATCACCGTTGGGGGACCGCGCGCGTTGCGCGCGGGCCAACAACTAGTAAATGTAAATATGACTACGTATTTCATTTATCAATACTAAATTGCATCTGTGCTAACGCACGGAATATACATAGTAGGTATAGTTAAAATAAAGAAAATATTAGAAGTGAAAATTATAGAATTTTTTTAGAGAGAGAAATTTGGAGGCTATTGCCAAAAAAAAAAAGTGCACAAATTAAATGATTGGAGTTTTGGAGGACTTTGGTGATAAGTTAGAAAAGGAAAAACTCTTAAATTACATTAAAAAAAATTATATTTTTGCAAAACATCGTAAGCATGAAACACAATTAACTTCCCATCAACCTTCACTCTTCGTCTTTTTCCACCTCATACCATAGTAAACTCCATTGAATGAGCTTGAGTTTTTGTCCACCAACATCCTCATTTCCACCATTTTTGACACGTTTCGTTTCATTCCACCGACATGTCCACTACCATTTTCGGCGGCAATAGGAAAACCCCTTGAACAAAGGGAGAAATAAAGGGCATGGGCATCCTTATATGGTAGGAGTATTATGTTCCTTTATTGAATTGAAGCAACCCTTGAGCATCCGAAGTCTCCATTGGAGAGCTCATCAAATTTAAGTTGAATTTACGAACTTAGCAAAGTGTTTGCTTTTGTTATGACTGAAAATAATACAAATTTGTCCCCACCTACCTACACAAAATGGCAACAATGTTCCCCTTGAGAAACAAGTTTCTCATGTTGAAAAACTTGTATTTTCTCGGATAATCCCATCATATTAGGCTATTTTAAAAAAAAATGGTTGTTAATTTGTTTGTAACCAATGTATAACAAATAAACCTGACACATGCATTTTATACTTCTAGCCTTTTTTTTTAAGTTCCGATTTTAATTAAAGTAATATCCCCTACCTCCCTTATTCTCCTCCTTCCCCATTCCAAAGCCTTGTTAATTGCAGAGTTGCCACCACCTACATTGACCAAAAACACCACTTGACCTCATCATTGCCTCTAAAACCTCCACCTTTCCTTCTCAATCTAACCAAACCCATCATCCACCCCTCTCTACCCTCATTGAAACCACCACTTAGCCCCTTCAATCTCCTTGAAACCATCAGCTACCTTCCCCACTTTCACTGAAAATACCATAGAATTCTAAACCACAACATATTTCTTGACAAAAAAAGCCTATGGTGGTCGGATTTTGCTAGTGATTCCAACTTTGGTACCACCACGATTAAATTCGGCCATTGTGATTTCTGATTTTGGATAGTTGTGTTGGAATTGTTGGGTGAAGGTTGATGTACACATTCTATACCATACTTTACCCTCGATTTATAGCTATTTTTGTATGATTTCTAAGCTCTACGGAGCTATTTCTCGCTAATATCCTTCTTCTAGTGTGGCTTGGTCTATTTGATTGATTTTTGTAGGCATATGAAGATTTTCGGATGATTTTGACGCGTTTTGGATAGCCACGAGAGCTTAGTAGGATGGAAGAGATTTTTCCCGTGTCCGCCCTAGAGGGCAACATTGCCCTGGCAGACCGGGCGAACAAGATCTCATGTGAAGAGCCAAAGCATTTGTCGCGCCCGACCGGGCGGCTTTGCCCGGTCTGACCGAGCAAAGTTTCGCGGAGCTCCTTTCCCTCTTTTTCGGGATTTTTCTTAATTGGGGATATAAATACCCCTTTGTAAAGCCCGACTAAGGACTTAATCATTATCTTAGCAGTTTTAAAACACTATTAGAACCCTAATATTCTCTCTAGATCTAGATTACATTCCACTTTGAAGTTTTAATCTTTATTCGTCAACAATTGATACTTTTCTTCATTGAAGCAATTGGTATTCATCTTTATTTCTTCTTTTACTTTTAATTACTTATTAATCATGTTTTCTTCATTGATTATTGTTTTTGCTTTCATTAATATGTGTGAGTAGTTTCTTTATTCCAAGATCTAGCGGATCCCGAATATGATTAATGCATGATTTAATTCTTTAAATTCTCTAATAATAATTGTAATTGATATGCTTAATTGATTATGCTTATGCCAATACTAGATTAGGGATAATTGGTATTGTTATTAATCCTTTGTTTTAATCGCAACGGGAGTTGGGGTTTGACGGATTTGAATAAATCAATTAAGGGTTTGAAGTTCATCACGGGAGTAGTTGAATGGATGATTAGGAAGTTAGAGTAATGTGCTTAAGGTCTCTAATTTATATGATTCCACGGAAGTAGGCTTGATTGTGATTAGAGAAGCCATTGATAACTCGAGAGAGACCATTGGTATTATTCATGAATTACTTTTCCTCTTAAATCAATTGAATTATGTGTTAGGGGTAGAACGACTATTGCATTAATTGTATTCGTGGTGAAGCTTGATCTTGGATGTTTTTAGCATTAAATTGTCATTTTATTTAGATTTAATCATTTTAACTAGTCCTTTAGATATTGATTCTCATTTATTTGAATTGGTTACTTGCTTGGTAATTGCTTGAGTCTATTTAATTAGTTGAACCATAGTCTCTTGGGATCCGACCCTTGCTTGCCCGTCTACATGGTAATGGTCTAGTTAGGTTTATTTTTGTTAGGTACGCGACACGTCTATCAAAGGTTAAAGTGAGGTTATGTGGTTAGGTTTGGATCGAAGTTTAGGTTGCCTATAGTAGAGAAGGGACAATATTTTTTATAAGGGTATTAAGGTGAGGTTTCGTGGTTGGCGGTTGACTAGTTGTATTACCAAATCAAAAGTAATCTCAGAGTGCAGTAACAAAGTAGTCAGGGTAGTATGGTCATCAAATCTATAGGGAGACAATCAAGAAACATAAACCCTAACCTCTCTATATCTTTCCTCTTCGTGCGTACGTGTGGTGGTTGATTTTTCCCTCCTCTTTGTAGAAGGTTGTTCGTGCCTAACTATAAAGAGGTTTAGACATTTAGTCCTACTTTAGTCCTACCATGTGGACTAAGTAGAGGAATCAAGTCAATCTCACATGGAAATCACACTTTAAAAGTTTAAAGGTACAATTATGTGAATCTTTATGTGTTATGTATACTGATCCTAATTAGGTGCGAACAAATATAGTGCGTAGATCCCAACATTGGTATCAATTAGTTTTTTTTTTTATTTTATTTTATTATTATTTTTTTTAAGGAAAAATCAGTTAGCATCTTGCATGTACGCATATTGATTATAATAATTTGATTGTTTTGATGTCCATGTTAATACATATATTCAATTAAAAGGGAGAATAATTTTTTTCAAGGTAAATTATTATTTTAAATGGTGATCTAACGTTTGGAATTACTAAATACGATTTAATTTGCTCAAATTAGCCGTAATTTAGACCGAATTTTTTCCCTATATTACTCGAAAAATTCGAACCCCGACCCTAATTTCAATTTTTTGATGCCCTAACCCCACAATTTTGATGTTTTTGTTTTGATTAGTTTCGAACATTGTATGCCTCATGATTTTAATTGGATTGATTAAATACATAAAAATGTGATTTTTTCTGTATCACAAATGATTAAATCTGAGGGTTAAATTAGATTAGAATTAATTTCATGAAGAACCCTAAAAATTTTAAAATTGAATTGAGATTAATTTGATAAATTTAGCATAATTGCTATGTTTAATTCATAAAGGACCAAATTAATTTGATTTAGCAATTGTTGTTTATTAAATTAATAATCTACCTAAAAAATTAGAAATATTGAGGGCGGCAGCCATGGCTGAGTGGCAGGTTTAGGTTTGAGATGGAGGGGTGGGGGGTTGGGACGCTGGCTGTCTCGATCCAAGGAGGGAGCAGCAGCCACATGTAAGTGCTGTAACTTTTAAGCCTGTTGCTACAAGGTGCCCATGCACCACGGCCAGCTTCGGCTGGCAACACATTAGTGGCTCTGCAACCTCGAATTTTAAAATAAATAAAATAAAATAATACTTCTTTTTTTTTTATCTTGATAAAATTAATATTTTATTTAAAATAATTTCAAATTATTATTTTGAGTAAGACTCCAAATGGATTATAATTGATAAATTAACGATAATTATCCCACAATTAATTTAGGATATAACTGATTTAAAATTTGATTAAAAATATTTCAATTCAGTAGTAATAATTTAAATTCAATAAAGAAAATCAGTTTTTTGAATTATTGAAGAACAATTTATTGTTGATCACCTAAGCACCTCGTATTTAAACCCGTATATTTTGGCCCAAAATTTCTAATCAAGCTAACTTTTATTTTTATTTGAGAGTGAGAGATAGCTCAATTAGTTAGAATTTCTCTCTCAACTTCAAAAGATCTTAAGATCGATTCTTATCACCGCTCTCGTGGCTCTATAAACATCAAGAAAAAACTTTTATTTTTATTTTCAAGATTCTAGAAATTACCATAAATTGGAGTGTAAATATACAAGTACCAAACTCCCAAAAATAAATGTTACCATAATTGTAATTTCCCCTTATAGAGTGACTGACTAGGAGGCGACTTTTACCATATAAATTGCTTACGAAACACTCTCCTCACTTCAGCAGACTTTTAACACTCTCTCTCTTTCTCTCTCTAGATCTGAACTCAATTTCTACTTTCTCTCTCTTCCCAATCTTCAAGATTCTCAGCAAACTTGGACTCTTTAATAACAGAAATTTTTTATTTATTTTTAAATATCCCCAAATTTTAATATTTTTATTGGGAATAAATTTTATATATTACAATCTATCTTATTCTGCAGATTGATTGAATTTGATTGAATTAGGGTTTTTTTGTTTTAAAGCTTGAACCTTTAACTATGGCGGCTGGTTCTGCCTCTGCCTTTGAGGTTAATTTTTTTTTAATTTTGTTGATTGTTTTTGGGTTTTATTCTAATTTAAATTTGAAATTTTGGGTATTATTTAGCTTTTTGCTCTGTTTTTTCCCTGATTTTTTTTGATGGGGTTTTGAATTATCAGGTTGGTTCGTTCTTTATTACGAAATATTATCATGTGCTTAAAGAATCGCCGGAGTTTTCTCATCAGTTTTACAATGATGCTAGTACTTTGACTCGAGTTGATGGTGATGATACTCAAACTGTTTCTACTATCTTGGTAATCATTTTTCTTTCTCATCCTCTGTTTAGTTTTTATAAGAAGTAATGATGAAGACGGGATTCGATCTTATATTCCGAGGTCACGGGTTTTGCCCCGTGATTTTACTGATTGATTGTATAGTTTTAGAACATGCTTGGTTTTATATTTATATGATATGGTAGTATGAGTACAAGTTTAAGTGGTGTGCATTCTTGGTTAAAAGTATAGTATTCTCAATTCGATTATTGTCACTTTGTATTATGAGTATATGTTTGTTGAGAAAGATTGAATTCTTAATGATTAAAATGTTTAGAGTGGCTTAAAGGGTCATAATTCCTGAAAATATACTGTAATTTAGGTGAATTAGTCCTGTTTGAGACACTAAGGGATGAAGGAATTATGTGAAGAAATCCCAAATACACCCCATCACTTGATTATTTAGCTCGAAAGCTAATACGAGCAAGTTTAATACGAAGCTCTCAATGATATCCTGTCCAGTGTTTTAACACGAGGATTGGGCATCATGTGGATATATGTCAATCATTGAGAAGTAATGGGATTTTGCTTTATAATACGAAGTATTCATCTTGGTAATTGTAAGGGTCGCTTTAGGTCAAGAAGTACTGCAGGAAAAACGCCATCCTATATTTAATGTTTGAGCCAAATTGCTATTATGGATACCCACCTAAGCGAACCGCTTAGTTTGGGCTTCTTAATGACCTAGCTTCGTCATCTACTCCTTATCAGTTGTTGGATTTGTCATTCAGTACTGAATAAGGTCATCTTTGGGTGTCTTAGATGACATATCCCAGCTGCCCTTGGAGTCCTTAACTCAGGGGATTCTTTTGATTAGGAAAATTGTGGATCGTAGAAAAAAAAAAAAAAAAAAAAAAACAGGGTTGCAATGTGGTAATCAGGACCACATTGTTCCAGAGGTGGCATCTTGTGGACTGACAAATTGGACAAAAATCCCAAGTTATCTTGTTGGGTTGTATACGCTGTAATATGATCATATTTTAACTACATGTGAATTCAATTGCATCAATGTGGTTTTAATTATAAATTGTTCAAATGGTTGACATATTGAAAATGTATGTGCAACATTTCTGAAGTTGCAGAAATCTTAAATTCTCGTTTGCTGTATAATCGGTTTGTTTAAAGAATTTATGATTGTCCTTTCATGACTATCTGTTTACTCTTTTATCAAAATTTCCAAAATTTACATCATTCCTTCTTTCCCACCCCTTGAATTATTGTGCTTCGTGTTTTATATAGATGTGTTGTTGTATTCATATTCATATTCATCAACAGATACATTCATATGTTCCCAAGTTCCTGAAGTACATTTCCTTACAAAAGTTAAACTATGAAAGCATATATGGTAGTAAAGTTAAGTTATGCTTCAATTTTTTTATCAGCCATTTGTCTTTAACAAAACTGTTGCAATTATTTGGCAGGATATCCATTCAGTTCTAACTTCTCTAAATGTTAGTGGAGTTGAAGTGACAAAACTAAATTGCCAAGACTCTTTGAATGGGGGCATTCTGGTAATTGTGTCAGGCAATGTGAGGTCCAGAAACTTCGGTGGCAAGAGGATGTTTACACAGGCCTTCTTCTTAGCTCCTCAGGAGAATGGTTTTTACGTCCTAAATGATATTCTTCAATTTAATGATGAGGTTCTAGTCAACCAGCATCCAGTGCCAGAACCTGAAATCAAGGTTGATTCTGAAATTCCTGCATCCAGCCCTCGCTTAGACCAGCCAGGTACTGATGGAAGCTGTTATGTTTGTGTTCAGTCTGAAGGAAGCTTGACTTATTGTTGCTATCTGGATGTGATGAGATAATAAAAATTAAGTGACCATTTTTGTATTGTTATTAAGTGCATGTGATTTTTTTCTATGTATTTGTTTAAAATGTAAATTACTGCTGCAAAACTGCGTAATATGCATATCAAAATTCTTGTTATATCACTCAGTTATTCCATGTCACAAGCAGTAAAACTAGAAGGAATGTCATTCATGTTGAATTTTTCGATGTTTTTTGGTTTATATAATTTATGGCCCTTCATTTCTGGATTTTATGTCAAGTATGGATTCTTGCTGCTTTTAAAACTTTGGGAAAACATGTTTTCTGCAGCAGCGTCTAATTTCGAGCTGGAGGAAGAGACCAGGGAGTATGTGAATTCAATTCCCATTGAAGAAGATTATCTTGTGGACAAATATAGCCTTCCTGATGAAGAGCAACATGAAGAGTCTCATGTAGAAACCATTGTCCAGGAAACCCCTGTTGAAGAGTCTGCTCCACCTGAAAGTGCTGTGAACCATATGAACTATGTGGAGGATCCGATATCTGTTCCAGCTGACGAGCCCGCTGGGGAGCCCGCCGAGGAGCCTGCCAAACTATCATATGCTTCAATCGTAAGCCTTCTAGTTTCTAGCCATTTGTTTTAAGCTGTTTAGATCACCTTGACAAGTTGGTTCTTTGAAATGTCTGTTTGAAGTATGCTTGTTTAAAAATATTTTATTTCTAAATTGAATTTGATGTGTTATAAAAGTTTGATACAACAGAAATTGATCTGATTTTGTGAAACTCCAATGTTATTAATTTTTGTTTGATCTTTTAATAGAAAATTACTTGGGCCAATCTTATGATTTAGAGATAACATTCTGCATATAATAAAGTATCTTATTTTTGATATTCTATTGTCAAATTTTGCAGTTGCGAGCATCAAAAGGGCACTCCTCACATCCAGTTGTTTCTAAACCTGCTGCAAGGCCTCGCATCCCACCTCCATCGGAGCAGCAACAGAAAGTGCAACCGATTGCTCCACAATTAAATGCATCAGCATCATCATTTGTTCCCGAGACAGCTAGTCCTGGGGCTGATGAAGGTTCTATTCAAGAAGGTATGTGTAAACCCGTTATCTACTTTGTATATGCCTCTTGTAGTCTTGTCTTATGTGGACTCTGTTTTTTTTGTGGCATGCATTGATAGTTGGGATCTTTAATTTTAATGCTGGCTGTCACCCAACAGTTTGTGCTATGCATACTTGGGTAGACTGACAACATGATAATTATTGCTGAAAAACAATTAGTGGGCTGTTCTTTGGTGGAATGTTGGATGCTACACTTCCCAGAGTGCAATAGTTTAGTCTTTAGTTGACTGCAGGATTTAGAGATTCCCTATATCAACCTAGGGTGGACTATGTACGAACTTGCACTTCCCAGTAAATAGTTTCTGAACTCTTTACTTGCAGCCAGGAATTTTGTCAACCAAAAAGTTACAAACAAGGTGCTTTATTGGTCTTATTAGTGAATTTTTTTTGTTTGTTTGGAGTTTGGACTATGCTTCTCATAATCCATAATTTATTTGTTTGGAGAATATATCTTGGTTTTGATCTGGCAGCTATGATGTATTATTGGTTGTCAATTTAAGACTTCATGCAATGTATTGTGCGATGTACTGTAATATTTTTTGAGAAAAGTTATGCCATTATACTGTTATGTTACCGGAGGAAGGTTTACCTGGAGTCTTTATAAGTATATTTTTCAAATACATGTGGTCTATTTACAAGTTTCTGAGCAGCAGAACTGATTTTCCAGTACTCAAATGGAGAGTGTGAGGGTATGAGACTCTTGAAACATCAAAGCAGGTTCTCTAAGGAGTAATTGACAGTGCCAAACTCTTTGTAACAATATGGGTTTTGGTTCGACCCTTGTCAAAAATGATTGAATTTTGGTCTTCTAGTGAAAATTTAGTCAGCAATTGAGTGTAGGAGCTCATTGTTGAAGTTGAATATCAATTGCAAAATCACGTACTCCTGCTGAGAGGAGACACACCTATCTTGGATCATGTTTTGAATTTGTTGCAACAGATTTCTAACACCTTCGTAGCTTTATCTCTGGTATCTCATTGTTTCTGTGGCTGTCATAGGTTGACAAATATCACCTAAATCCTCTTTTACTTTCTATTTTAAGTTTTGCATACAGAGGCTCTTGCTCTGTTACATTTCCACTATTTCCAAGCACCAATAAAAAGTTGCATACATCATATCTTGATATCCTCTATAATGAAAATATTTCCTTATCGATGTTTACAAAGCATTGCTTGCATTGTCCATTAATTCTATCTAAAATCACGTGGAACATTTTTGTTAGTGCTATTGTTGTTGTTCTACATATCTCTTGTTCTCATCATTTTTTTAAATGGGAATTGTACAACTCAGGGGAGATGACATCTGTCTATGTGCGAAACTTGCCCTCAAATAATGTTACTACTGCTGATCTTGAGAAGGAGTTCAAAAAGTTTGGTAGAATCAAACCGAATGGAGTAGTCATTAAAAATCGCCAGGTGAGTGATATACATTGTTTTGTGAAGTTGCTTATTGGATTTATTTGAAAATGCTTACTTTACTTTTACTTCTGGACACGCAGGATCTTGGAATTTGCTATGCATTTGTCGAATTTGAGGACATTTCTAGTGCTCAAAATGCAATAAAGGTATTATGGTAGCTTCATTTTCATTACATTTACCGTTTTCGCCTACTTTAGCAAGTGTTGGATCATACAAATTTTTTATTTGTGCTGCAGAAACTTACTTATCCCAGTAATGTTAGTAATAAGTGATTTTTAGTACTCATCAGATATTGAATCAAGGTTGGTTGTGAGTGTATCTTATGCTTACTGCTATGCTGGCCCTTTAACAACCACCGAAACAATTGTTGACTTGTAACAGTGTCATAATATGCTGAAATGAGTTCTTGACAATTGACATAATGTGTTGCCATCATGTGTTTTAAAATTCATATTAATAAAATGTTTAATATTTAAATGCTTAGACCTAAATTCTGTTGGTGACTTGGTATTAGAAGTTTCTAATAGTATTTTCCTTCGAGGTGTGATTTTTTTTTTTTTAATTTTTTTTTTTGTCAATTCATCATTTTGTGTAATAGTATCTTATCTGAGAAGTGCGACTAGGAATGCGTTGATGTGAAATAAACTGCAGTGTGCTGTGTTGTTGACTTGTTGGGGAACCAGCTGTGTGCTTTTAGTAAAAAGATAATAAAAAATGTGGGTTCATGTCCAAGTGTCATTCTGGAATTCCCTATTGTTTTTTTGTAAACCCAATTTGTGTTTTATGAATTTATTGATTTCCTTTGCTATAGTTTTCTCAAACCTTAATGTTTTTTTTACTTGCACATATTTACTACTCCCTTAAAACTTAATTGAGATCTATTCTTTGTCTTTTTTAAAACTCTCTTAATTTTTACTTGAATGCTACTTTCCTTTTCTCACTTCACAAACCTTTTTTCAAACTCTTTCAACTGATTATCTTATTACTATGTCTTATAACCCCCTTTTTTTATTATTATTTTTTTTTATATAAGACGGTTTCTTATGACGATTCATGTTAGCCGATCCATATCATTTTGAGACTAAGGCTTTGTTGTTGTTGTTGTTAATTGTCAGAATTGTAACAATTGTATTTCTGAATCTAATTTTATCGATTTTTTTTTCTTTACAGAATTCTCCCATAGAGTTGCTGGGTAGGCCAATCTACATTGATCCAAGGAAACCAGGTGGAAGCAGCAGTTCCCGTGGTGGAGGTATGTGCTATACTCTGTTCTAGTTCTGTTTATCGTGAAATCCTTGTTAGGTTTATGTGGACCCCCATATGATTACTCGTGTAATGGAATAGTACAAAAGCATTTAAATAAATTAGTTGCTGACTGTCCGCTAATTAAAAGCGAAGTAACCTATATCTAGGCAAAGCAGCCCAAGAATGACCAGGACAAAGGGTGCTCCAAATAGAAGCTAGCTTTTAAGTCAACTGAGATGCCATTTACTATTTATAGTGAGACTGTGAGAGTAGAATTTATAGCCAGTGGAGCTCTGTTAGTTAAGTTATTGTGCTCACTTTAATTGTAGAAAAGGAACTTCATTGTCTCATAATTATCATTATCATTATCATCTCTAGGTTGAAAATATTCCCTCCATTTAATTTTTTTTTTTTTTTGCTACATCTTCATTAATTTGTTTGTAACTTAAAATATTGTCCTTTCATTTCGAAATCTATATTTCCAAATACACTTAAAAATAATAATTTGATATATTTGAGTTGTATATTTTAAAGATTAGTATTTTTTGGTAAATTATTATTGTTGAATTAACATTAGCAAAAATCATGCTTTGTACGGGATTTAAAATAGTTAAATTACAAATATAATTCCTTTGTGCCATGAACTTTGCTACATTTGGACTTACACGCACTACACTTTAACCATTTATTATGGATTATGTGTGAAGAAAAGAATAGTCATGTGGGATTTATGTAGTGATAAAACTAGAAAAGTTCCCTAGATAATGCTTACGTGAAGATTTATATAGTGATTGAACTCTGCGAAACAGCAAGGGTTGCAAAGGACTTTAAAAGCAGGGGGTGGCATGTTCCAATGAATTACAGCATCAGTCTTGTGCTCAGATCAAAATATTGAATATAATTGAAGTACACGAATTCGATGTACATATATGGATTTCTTTGTTATCACAATATTGCTGTGATGATAGTTATGTGATATTGTGATGATTCAACATTTTGCTTATGTGCGAGTGCTTTCCCATTTTACAACACTGCCCCTGCTAAAAATTATCACGGTTCTAATTTCTCTCTTAATCTCATAAACAATTGGCAGCTGCAGCTAGAGGCAGAGGCCGAGGTGGTTACCAAAATAACACTTCAAGAGGACGTGGTGGGATCAGAAACCCTGGTCGAGGAGACAGCAGCGACTACAATAGGAGTAGAGGCTCAGGGAACGGCTTCTACTAGTGCGTACGCCCTAGCAAAGCGTATGGGACGCAATTATCTGGATCAGGGAGAAAGGGAGAGTGATGCTAAATTATTGCTCTTTCTCTGTAGGTGCTTCTGTCTTCTTATTTGTTAGTGATAAACAATTAGGTCTCCACCCTTGATCTAGGGTATTGAATTATTTACCTGAAGGTGGAGGAATGAGGAGCATATTTAGTTTATATTTCTACAGAAGGTGCATATATGCCGCCTTCGTCCCCATGTGTTTTTCTTCTACATGGGGATTTTTTTGAATTTTCTGCCAAAGGTTTGGTTATTTGGCTGCCCTGAATTGAATTTGTGTTATCTGAATTTTGGTTAATTGACTAATGAGATGATTTCAAGTTTGTTCGGAAATATCAAAATGGCTTTATTTGATAATTGATCATATTATTCATTAGTAGTATTGGAAGATCATTCCATATTGTGCATTAAAAAGGAATTTACATATATCCTATTTTACTAGCTATTTTTCAAAGAACATATAATAAGTCTGTTACATAATTACATTATGCATATATGATTATGTGGTTTTACTATGAATCTTAAATTTCGTCTGAACATACAAATTCTTCTTGTTGAAGGGCATGAAATATATATTAAACACGGCTCTAGCACAAAAAAATAAACGGGAAAACTATTCCCTGGGCTGGTGTTGCTAATACTTTTGTGTTTTTTTTTTAACCCTGAATGGATCGGAAAATCTAGGTTGTTGCAGCAACCATGGCGCTCTGATGACAAGTTGCAGGCATCGTGCATAGATTTCCTTCTTCTATTTCCCAGAGAAAATTAGCATATGCTGCAATCACATGACTGCAGGAAAGCAATACAGAAAAAATCAATAAAGGGACACGAGAAACCAAATGCAGAATTTATTACCAACCTATTTTCAGGGGAAGCCTGAACAGATCTTTGGAAGTAGCCTAATGCTCGTTCTTCATCGCCATGGAGCTCCCAAATCAGCTGGGCGTATTGTGAAAGGATTTCACCATCTCCGGGATCCATTAGTATTGCTCGAGAGTAATATTCCTCAGCCCCTCCAAGATCCTTAGACTGAAAGAGATAGATTAAGATTTGTGAGTATTGACATTGTATGCTACATGAAGAGAATATGAATGTTCGAGGCTAACCTTGTGAAGGAACTTGGCATAGTTTCTCAAGATCATTGGATTTCCAGGATTTTGTTCAACCATATTCTTGTAGTGTTCTGCCATGGTAGCCTTGTTGCTGCCATCTTCGCCGAAACCTACTGGTTTATATTCATTGTGTCCTCCACTGCCTCCTCCTCCTCCTCCTCCTCCGTTGTTATATCCACCGCCACCAGTAACCACTCCGAGTCCCCTTGCAAGATGCATTTTAGAGGGTACATTTTCAATCTCCTCTTGAGCATAGATATATCTTTCTTGTAACCCCATGTTCATAAATGCTATGGTCTTATCTAAGCTTGAATCATCTCTTATTTCCTGTTGAACTTCTTCATCACTTTCTTCTTCCTCATCATCTTCATACCGCCTTTTGGAATTGTGCATCGAGAATGAAGGAATGGATTGCAGAATCGAGCAGCTGGGTTTGCGCGGAAGCTTCTTGGCAGCAGGGATACAACGGTTGAATTCATCAAAACTGTTGCAGACTAATTCTTCCAAGTTTCCTTCAGATTGTACCCTTCGAAAACCATTGGTTTGAGATCCATCAGATGTGATTTCGGTGTTAATAGAAGGGGACGAGTTGGAGATTGATGAGGGGGGAATGAGATTCAGGGGACATGTAGGTGTTTGGTGGAAGGAAAACTTCTTAGGTGGTAGGTGGTGTTTGGGAGAGTTATACTCCGAGTGGTTGCCATGGTTCGGAGATTCCGAGTACGATGACGAAAGAAGTGAGCCAAGAATAGGGGTGGATGAGCTTCTAATGAGCATCATCTTTGTGGTATTTTTCTTGTATGAAAAAATATGGAGAAGAAACTGAATTCAAAGGGAAAAAAAGTGCTAAAACTATCCTGCCAGTTGCATAAATGAGATAATGGTAGTATATACTATTATTAAAAATGATGATAATAGAAAATAATGTAATGAATGGCCTAAAAATGTTAAGAGATATTATAATTTGGGCCTACTATCTAAACAAAATTCAAGAAAAAAACAAGCAAAAAATGTCATTTTCTTCATTTACTAAATGTTGATATTTTGGCCCTTTCGTTGTGAAATTTGCACTTTTTTGGTTTAATTTGTGCATTCAATGAATTCACATGCAAACTCTTGTAATTGTTTGAGTGGGTGGGGTGTAGTTTAAAAAAGGGCAAGGACGGTTGAAATTTGAAAAGTTGAAATATGGCAATTTTATATGATATAGACAAAAAATTATTTACATATTAATTAATTAAAGAATTAAGATAAGAGGGGAAAAAAGAGGGAAAAAAAATTAATTTGAGGTGAACATATGTTGTGTTATCCGCTACTTGGTGGAGTATATGTGTAATGTGTTTAATAGACTTTCAAATAAATCAAACAAGGTTAATGACTGCACATTACGAGTATTTTCTAGAATTATGTATAAATATATATCATGAAAGCACCCCGTAGATAGTATTAGAAATTGGAAACGATTGCAAGCAATGACTCATGAAAATTCTAGAACATTATAGCAATCAATGAAAATGGTGAAGGGGCTTAACTCTGCAACCTCTATATTGCCTATATATACTAATGTTGGGCATTCAAGCGTATACATTGTACACTAGTACATGCATATAGAAACCACACAAGTCTCTTTAAGTACATTTTTTTTTTTTTTGATATTTCCCCTCCTCTTTTGATTTGAAAAACTTAATCACAAATCCTTATTTTATATTTTTTGTGTTATCTTGTTATTTAATTTGGCTACTAAATCAGCTAAATATTTTCTTCAGGTTAGTAGACGCTAGGTAAGGGCCTAGTCCTATTTCACCTCTAATCCATGTTGCTCCCATGATTGCCATGAGAATTTTTTTTAATCATTTGCTCGATTGTTGTCTCTTTTTCTAATTCTACGATTTTTGAAAATAATTAAATCACATTAACAGTCTTTTCTAATTCTACGATTTTTGAAAATAATTAAAAATACATTATTACTCTTTTCACCAAAAGAATTTAGTAATAAACACAAATAAATTCATCAAATTACACAAATAATTTATTTAAAATTGTTAATTCTAAAAAAAAATAAAAATTCTTAAAGAAAATGCAATTTTCATCCTAATAATTATAATAAAAACCAAATGTTAATAATAAAACTAAAATATTGTGTATCTAAATAGTTATTCAATCAATCATAAAAATCATAATTATTATAATTCTTCACACAACTATGTTGTTGCTCCGAAAATGGTCATAACAGCAACCCAAAATCCTTCTTAATACCAAATCAATCTCCCTTCACGGAATACTCATCATCCAAAAGTGGAATGGGTGTTTCAAAGATTCCAAACCATATCTTTCAACCCACAACTCATTACCCTGCAAATGTCGTTGGGTTTACTTCTAGGAAATCTACTACTTTAAAGAAGAAGAATAACAAAGGTATAATTGCTTTTCAATATCGAGTTTGCAATAACGAAGGTTTTAGGGCAACAAAAAAAAACTTCTTGCTCAACAAACCGTTGATGAAGAAGGAAAAGTTCGTATTACTAGGAAATGTTTAGTCACTCGAGTAGGATGCAATGCTCACATATGTCTGAGATATGATGATGGAAAGTATGTTGTTAGTCATTTCAAAGAATAATATAATCATTGTTTATCTAATCCAAGTTGGGTAAAATTTTAAAAGGATAATAGAAAAAATGCATATTATGCATAAAAAGTTGATCGTGATAATTCAAAGGTGATTTATTTTTATGTGCCAAATATTGTTTTCTTTGTTATGATTTACTATGTTCTAAAGTTGATTTTTAATCATAGTAATATATATATATATATATATATATATATATATATATATATATTGAAATAAAATTGATTCATAAATAAGTCATACGACATCTACAAAGAGATTTAGATCTAACAAATACATAACAATTGAATCAAATAAAAACATTTTGTAAGCAAAGCTACGATCGTTGTTGCAAATCGTACATTCTTCATACTCTCTTTCATATCGTTGTGATTTACAGCCTTCTTCGGTGAGGGGGCCTATCGATCTGTTGTAGCCGTGCAAAAAATTTCCGTCTGATTCGTTCGATTGTTGTCGAAATATTAATCTCTTTTTCAATACCGCACAAAATTTTACCCATGAAACAACTCTATAACAATCCATGAAATAAAAAAGCAAATCCTCCCTCAAAAGAGAGAAGAAAAACCCGGTCTTTCGAATGAGCCAAATCCTCCTAAAGATCGAGGAAGAAAAACCCTATCTTTCGAGGGAGAAATATTCCTCCTACAAGAGGAAGAATTATTATAAACCTAAAGCAAGAGAAAAGGCACAAAAGAAACAACGATTGGGGCTTTCCACCGGTAAATCCGATGGAAGCCCCATAAAAAAAATAGGGTAATATATATATATATATATAAATGTATTTTAAAAGAATTCACAACTGGACAACTATAAACCAAAAATCATATTCTTAAAATAATTTATAACCTGTTTTACAACAATGAAAATATATTGCTACGATTTTTTGCCTACTTTTGTTTTAGTTGTGTATTAGAAACTAAATAAAAAATACAAATATCAAATTAACATATCACGAGGCTTTTGTTATTCCTTCACTAATTTATTATTATAAATACTTAATTATCAATCAATAATCTATAATTATAGATCACCGTGCATGGCACGGGATCTAACCTAGTAAATACATAATAGTGAGTTGTAATTAAATTATGGAATTAATTAAAACTTGTTTAGTTGTGTATACTATATATATACTCCAATAGATTTTAATAAGTTTTGTATTTAGGCGATACTGGATTGTTGATTGAATTTAATAAATTTTTTATTTCAATTAAATGTCAAATCCTAAAATACATCATATGTAAAGGACTTAAAACTCATATGATCCCTTCTCATTTATAATGTTTTGATGGAGTAGGATATCAATTATAAAAAAAACACGACCCCGTATTGATGGAGTAGTATACCAATCATAAGAAACACGATCATAATTAGTAAGTTTAACACTTTTTTAAAAAAAAACAAAAAAACAAACAAAGGGTGTAATAAATTTGAAATATTTGTAAACTTTTTTTTTAATTTTAATTTTTTATTATTGTTGTTGTTGTTATTATTATTGTTATTAATCTGAAAGTGGAAATGTGATTGATATGATGACTTGGTTGGAGCAGTCTATGCACTATTCCACAGAAAGACTTGTGTGGATCCAAGGTCTAGACATACGCAACTGACATTAAATTGAATATAGTGACCCTTATTTTTAACATAGTAACCTTTATTAAAGCTACTACAACATTTAATAATATTGTAAACTTGAAATATGACGTTATTACCCTAATTTTAACATAGTGGCCTTTATTATTCATATTGATCAGTATATTAATCAATTAGACCTATATATTACCAAAATTTCAGAAATTTCACCAAATGCCACTGACAAATTTAAAAATTCACCAAATGCCATCGCACTTTTCATAATTCACCAAATGCCACTCAATTTTAAAATAATTCATCGAGTGCCATTAATGACTAACGGGGGCTTAATCATGACACTTGGAAATCGATTATTGGTTTCAAAAATATAAATAAAATAAAATTAAAAAAACTCTAAATCCTAACCCAACCCAACCCCACCACCATAACCACCTGCCTAAGCCAACCGACGGCCCAAAGCCAACCGCCGGAACTCCTTGACCTCCTGCCGGAACCCTCTAACCTTCCGCCGGAACCCGCCGGAACCCCTGACGTCCCGCTGGAACCCCTTGACCCCATCAAAACCGTCGACTCTTCTTAATTCCCCGAAAAACCACCCAATCACCGCAACCATTTCACGCAATGCCCAAAACTCTGCCTACTCGACTCCATCACCCACACAATGACCCACAAAACTCCGTTTACCCGATGACCTTGCGCTGATGCCCACCCCAACGCTCGCAACCACCTCACGCACCAACACGACGCATCACATAGCCACCACAACCGACCATGGAAACCCGAAATCCAGAATAGAACCGACTGTGGAAACCCATCACCCTCAAACGATCGAAATCAACCATGGAAATCTACAATGGTCGATTTCTATGGCCGATTTGATCGTTTCAAGGGTGGAGGATAGGAGGAGTGGTTTTGCGCGGTGGTTGGAAAACGCTGGGTGTTTAAATCAAAGCTCATGTTGGTGGTATTTGGGGTCGAGGCAGGTTGCGTGGGTGGTTTTGGGGGTCGGCGGTGGGTCAGGTGGAGTGCTTAAGGGTCGATCGACCGTTTTTTGTTGGTTAAGGGGGTGGCCGGCTGTTTTCCGGCGAGAAAAGGGGAGGGGCTAGGGTTTGGTGGTGGTGGGAAGGTGGCTGGGAAATTTTTGGGTTTTTTTTTTGTTTTTTTTATTTTATTTATTTATTTTCTTTTTATTTTTATGAATTAAAATAAATAGACTAATCATATCGTGACATGTGTCATGATTAGACCCTAATGACTAACGGAGTTAACGGCCGTTAGTCATTAATGGCACTCAGTGAATTATTTAAAAACTGAGTGGCATTTGGTGAATTCTGAAAATATCGATGGCATTTGGTGAATTTTTAAATTTGTCAGTGACATTTGGTGAAATAGCCGTTATTATTTTTATGGTAATAAACAAAAGGGAATAAGAGATGGTGGATTGGTGGTAAAAAGGTTGGAATGTTGGATCTTTATATGGGAAAAAGGTGAGCTAGATTGAATGATGGTAAATGGGCCTATACAAATTGCCAAAAATTTGGCTACCAATGAAAAAAGTCAAAAGTAAAGGACTATAAACGAGAATTTACCCCAGCTTCTATAAGTTATGTACTACCTCCGGTCTTAATTACTTATAACTTTAGGGTATTATTTGTAAGATATAAAATATTCCAAAGTTACGAGTAATTTGGACCGAATG